GGAAGCTGATCCTTATCCTAAAATCTTCCCCTCTTTAAGTCCCTCAAGTTTGGACATTTTGGCTATTAAGCCCAAAACAATATCTTTCCACAATTTAGTCCTTAACTGAATGCTAAAATATCACAAAATTCCGGGATATTACAGTTATGGTCAGGTTAGAAAGAGTCACGGGTCAAAACAAATTGTGTTAAAATGGGTCACAAATCAATGAGAGTTGACCTTAACCCACCCATTGCAAATCACGAGTTAACTCGTAAGTTGATTCAATTGAATTTTTTTTCCTTTTTTTCTTTATAATTTGAACTTATTATCATTTAAAAAAAATTATTCAAAAGATTTAAAAATGAAATTCAACATCTTATAAAAATGAAATTCAACATCTTATAAAAAGATATTTTTTCTTATTAATTTAAGAGAACATATTTACAATTCCTTAAAATCACCTTCTTCACTCCCCTACAAAGAAAAATGCTCATCAAATTCAAGAACACCACACACTTATAGATCTCAATAGCAAAAAAAGGAAAAAAAAAGTAGTAATAGCATGACAACCTAAAAACACAAACCCCATTGAAACATATTTGTTTTGGTTATTGCTTTGAAAGAATCAATTAATTAAATGCATCTAAGTAAATAAATAAATAATAAATTAAAAACAAAATAAATAAATAATAAATTAAAAATTTTTAATTTTTAGACCGATAAATGAGTCAAGCCCATTAACTTAGTGGGTTAACCCGTTATTGACCCGTGACCCGTCAAATTCTTTTAACGGATCATTAACGAATCACGGGTCATAAATAGCTTACCCTAATCCGTTTTAAACTAGTGGGTAATGGGCATAAATATCTTCAATTGGGTATTAGACACTACAACCACCCTGGGTTTTGACCTTAGCTGTAAGTTGTGCATGGCTTTTCTGATGCAGTTCAATGCTGCCTGTACTGCTCTTACAGACCTGAAACACAGACCAGCAGAGATATCATAATAATAAGTTTTAAATTATGTCAGTTGGCATTCATAAATATATAAGTGCCTTTCTAAGAAGGCCAAGTCTATTTTTAGCACATATACAAAACAGTCTCACCTGTCATATTGCCAAAAGTGGTTTCTTGCTTACTAATGTAAGCATGCATTGTGGTTTCAAATTATTAGGATGATACACATCTCTTCCATCTTCTTTCTTACTTTATTGGTATCTAGTTATGCTGGTAGGGAATTTTATTGTTATTAAGCATCATTATCAACCAATGAGAAATTTTCTTTAGATGTTCAGTCAGAATACCTATTCATAAGCATCCGCATGTGCAATGTAATATCAGGCTCCCCAACACCGTCTGGAACCCAATTGACCGCTTCCTCAACATCTTTAGAAGGGGATATGAGTACTCTCATTAGCTCCCCAAATATGTTAGGTCGAGATCGCAGAGATTCTGGCTTTCCAAATAACTCATAAGCAGCACTCCTCATCTCAGAATGTACATTCTTCAAGAAAAATTGAGCTCCTACGGCATCTGTGGTACCCTGAAACCTGCAGTAGTATAGTTAGTGAAAATGTGTTCATAATTGAAAATAAATAAATAAATAAACAACATACCATCTCAAAAGAATTCCCACTTTACCATATAATAGGTTGGTCCCAATCCCTCCAATTGCTACAGAGGGCATTTGTCTTTGCTGGCTTCTCAAAATCATCAATCCTCATAACCAACTGCCTTTTGTACTTCTTTACACAATCGTTTTTTCTCCAAAGATGCTTGATTTCTTTCAAGGTAAACGTAAGGTTGGAATAAGAAATGTAGTCTCCAAAAGGATATTTACCCCTGAAGAAAGAGAAGAAAAGAATTGTTAACACTGAATCTGTCCGGTTTCTCAGGGAGTGTTCCCTGGAACAATGAGTATAACATGGAGTGCCTTCTTCAACACCCAGTCTGAGTAAACCAAGTTTGCACTAACCTCAAATAGCTAGCACTTATAATTAATCCACGCAAATGGAATTGGAAATAATACAATGTTCATGCACTGTCTTAAGAGCCAAACAATAAATGAAGAAAACAACAAGACTAGCTTCGGCTAACAAATTAAATAGTTATGTAGATAGGAAAATTCTGATGTAGAACAGAAAGGATTGAGAAAGAACCAATATGCCTGGTTTGCCCAATGATCAAGGACCGGTTCAACATTATGCTTAATGCAGCAGCAGTTAACATCTTGTACATTTCGTTCCCAAATCCTGCCTCTGATGATTTTCCTAACACGAAACCTTGCCTGCAGAACTGCTGTGGAGGCAGCTCACGGACGGTAGATGCACCTGAAACCAATGTCAACAAAAAGTGAACTTCTGAAAGAGATACAATACCAATAGCTGTGCCACTCCAAAGTGCCATAAATCTCCCCTACCATACCAAAATTTTTCTTTGATGCAATGTAGAACCATTGAATAAATTACTTGCATAATTCTCACTCAAAAATTATTCAGAACAACCTAAATGGATCTCATTTAAGAGCCAAAAGTTTCCCAATTCTAAAAGAAAGATGAACTAATACAATAATCGTCAATTTTATAGAAAACATGGATACTACCATTTCCAAGTTCAATCTGAGCACCCCCCAAAAAAAAAAAAAAATTAGAACTTATTCACATTTAAGAAAATAAAGATTTCAGCTAAATAAACGTAAAAGACTTGCCATTTAAAGCAAAGTGACGCTGAATAATCCTCCGAACTCTGAGACTCTCCTCCAAAAATCCTCCTCTGAAAACCTCCCCCATTT